ACGCACCCACTGACTGTAGTTCGGATGAAGTGAAGGACGAGTTCTACCATAAACTGTCTAACCTCCTCTCGAAAGCCAAACGTTCGGACGTAGTGGTTGTTGCAGGTGACCTCAACGCACAGGTGGGTAGACTGAGTGAGGCAGAAAGGCACTTAGGTGGCACTTTCGGAATCCCAGCTGAACGTACAGATAACGGTGATCGCCTATTACAACTATGCTCAGATAACCGCCTATTTTTAGCCAGCACAAATTTCAGACATAAAGAAAGGCACTGTCTGACCTGGCGTCCACCGAGCTCGACTCAGCGATGGACACAGATAGACCACATTGCTATTAGTCATCGCTGGAGAGGATCGGTGGAAGACTGCCGCTCCTTCTGGAGTACGTGTTTGGACAGCGATCATGCGTTGGTCCGAGCACGTATATGCCTGCGTCTCAATGGACGTAGAAAAAATTTGGCAACAAAACCACTACGAGTTCTGCTGGACAACGAAAACACCAAAGCCGTGTTCAGTGAGAAGTTGGCTAGGCAGTTATCGGAACAAAAGACTGTCACTCATCCAGAAGAAGCTTGGTGCCATCTTCAGTCTACTGTAAAAGCAGCACTGGAGACTGTAGCCGACTCCAAGATAATGGCTAAAAAGAGCCAGTGGATATCAGCAGCTTCTTCCAAACTAATGGATGCACGTGAATGCATCCCTGCAGGCTCTGAGTACAATGAAGAGCGAGCGCAACTTAAAAATAAACTGACGAAAAGTCTGCGCAACGATCGTGAACAGTGGTGGGCAGCAAAGGCTAAAGAGATGGAAAAGGCAGCGGCGATCGGTAACAGTAGACAGTTATTTAGACTTATTAAGGAGACTGGGGGGAAATGGTCAACAACAGTTAGTGAGGTTATAGCGGAGAAGGACGGATCGGCGATTCACTCGCAGGGAAGGCGACTGGGACGATGGGCAGAACACTTTGAGGAACAGTTTAACTGGCCTCCAGCCACCATTGCGCTGCCCGCTATCCAGTCGGACCCTGAATGGGACATAGAGACAGGTCCCCCAACACTAGAAGAAGTTGAGAAAGCGGTAGGTAGCCTGAAACGGGGAAGGGCAGCAGGACCAGACGGACTACCTGCTGAGGTATACAAGAATGGTGGTAGAGTTCTCTTAGTCAGGCTAACGGAAGTGTTAGCCAGTATATGGGAATCAAATACGATCCCCTCCGACTGGTCTAAGTCACTGATCATCCCAGTCTTCAAGAAAGGCGAGAAGTCCTCTTGTGATAACCACAGAGGAATCAGCCTGACAAACATAGTGTCTAAGATCCTAAGTTCTATAATTCTCCGACGCCTGAGTGGAGCTCGGGAACAGCAAGCCCGAGAAAACCAGGCAGGCTTTAGACCTGGCCGTGGATGTATCGACCAAATATTCACACTGCGCCAGGTCCTGGAACATAGGCATGCTTACAGACGCCCGACAATAGCTGTATTTCTCGACCTGAAGGCGGCATTTGACTCCGTTGATCGAGAAGTCTTATGGCAGTGTCTGTCACTGAAAGGCGTGCCTAGTAAGTACATCACCTTATTGAAAGCTCTCTACTCGAACACTTGTGGGCATGTTAGAGCCTATGGTGAGTTGTCCAGGGAGCTATACTCATCAAGTGGTGTCCGTCAAGGATGCCCACTATCCCCATTCTTATTTAATTTTATCATAGATATTCTTATGGAGGTTTCCCTCTCGTCACCTAATTACAAAGACGTTGACCGGATCACAGGTGAATTTTCCTTAGATCTAGAATATGCAGATGACATAGTCCTGTTAGGTGAAGACGCTGACAAGATGCAGAGTCTTCTGAACACTTTGAGTGGGAATTTGAGAATGTTTGGGATGCGATTTTCACCACCCAAATGCAAATTTTTGCTCCAGGACTGGTCTTCAGCGGTACCGCGGTTAACAATAGAGAGTGAAGTGGTTGAGTGTGTTGACCACTTCACTTACCTGGGAAGTAGGATCAACTCCGGTGGGTTAGTTGCCGATGAGATTTCTGCACGGATACAAAAGGCTCGATTGGCTTTTGCCAATTTGCGCCACCTATGGCGCCGCCGTGATATTCGTTTGTCTATTAAGGGTCGCGTGTACTGCACAGCAGTCCGCTCTGTTCTACTGTATGGCTGTGAAACATGGCCATTGAAAGTGGAAGACATGAGAAGGTTACAGGTATTTGACCACCGTTGCCTTCGTAGTATAGGACGTATTCCGTGGTGTCACCATGTGAGTAATGCAGAAGTTAGGTGTAGAGTTTTAGGGAGAAGAGGTAAGTCAGTCGACGAGGTTGTGAACCTTCATCGACTGAGATGGTTGGGACACGTACTACGTATGCCTAGTCACCGATTGCCTCGTCACACAATGTTGGCTGAGGTGGGTTCAGGCTGGAAAAAGGCCCGAGGTGGCCAGACTAAAACATGGCACCAATGTATGAAGTCTCTGACTGTTGGTTTAAGCCATGTAGGACGATGCAGACTAGGTGGTTGGGGTCCACGGGACAAGAGGAACCAGTGGTTGGAGACCCTAGGTGATATGGCTCAGAACCGAAGTCAGTGGCGCAGATGTATACACACATTATCCTCATCTTAACAACGCTATACCGAATCTCACTATTTTGTCACTCCTCTTTCCTTTCTTCTCGTACTTTATATTTCTTTTGACTGCATTCACTTATCTTCATCCTTCACCTCACTACCTTTTTACTTGATGTGCTGATATGAGGTGTGGCAACTCGGACCGTTACGCAGTAATGCCTGGTCCTATGTTGATAATGATGATGATGATGATAACGTGTTCAGAGCAAGATCTGACAACCTTGGGTTCGACCGCTGGTGGGCTAGCAGGTACAAGTGGTTGAGGAGTGCCAAATTAGGGCAAAACGGATGTCCAGTCCCGGTAGGTAATGATCCTCTCCAGCTGGTGTCACTCATTAATAAATACTACGTTGGAACATAGTAGGAATAAATACAGCAGGCAGTAAGACAATAAAGTAGCTACAAAACAAAATCACTGACAACAAAAATGCATTAATAAGAGAACATGAATTACAAAAGGGAGAAGGAAGAAAAGGTCCGAAATTAGTGAATATATATATATATATATATATATATATATATATATATATATATATATATATATATATATATATATATATATTCAACTGTTTCTCCAGTAAAAAGATAGCAAACCATAGACTCTAAATTAGAAATGTTAACGAATTACAGCGCAAAGAAATATGATTTGATTCCAATAAGCACACTTAAAAGTGTAATAAAATGCACTAAACTGGAAAATCTTTGTGAAGAAAAAGAGAGCCTTTAAATAAAGGAAACAGGTGGAATGTCCGCTTAATTATTTATACCATGAACATATATGAATAAAACTCAATTTTGCTAAAAATCGCTTTTAATTCTGCGTAAGGTGATATATTTATCAACAGAAACAAAGATATTCTCTCTTTGAGAGAAGGCATATCCTGAAGAAATAAACAACAGGTGGAACATATAAACAAGTATAAACATACACAAAAACACACGTACCTGATCAGGCAGTTTACAGTATTAAAATCAAGTGTACATCTGTGCACCTGGTTTCATTCTGTATGTCTTATCATCAACAGAAATAACGCGCATATATATATATATATATATATATATATATATATATATATATATATATATATATGACAAGGCATAAACGCCAGGTACTCAAGAAACTGACCCTTTAACTATTTATCAACAGTTTATAATTGACTTGGTTGTGGCTAATAATAGAATCCAGGATGCGCGTTTCGTTCTAATTGGAACTCGTCAGCTGAATGCACCTGCATTCCAGTAAGTGTTGTTCCACTTGAGACTCGAACCAAGTAACGATCATTATAAAAGTCAAAGAGGCATCCACAAGACCACTGGGGCAGAAGTTATCCCTTGTGAAACGGGTACCGGTTGTTGTTTACTAATACATGTAATTTCCTGTTGCTATAATAGGTCGGAATGCTAAACTTATCTCGGTAGATGGGTTCGTATGTGGATGCCACGATACTGCTTGGATATTTATTATATTGCAGGCCAATTGTTGGCTAGCAGTGGAATCCAGGACGAGCGTTTGACGAGATGCAGCTCTGGGTTGGAGTCTCAATGAGAACATCGTTCACTGGAATGTAGGCACAACCAACCGATGAGTCTCAAATAGGATTAAACGCACGTCCTGGACTCCACTGCTAACCACTAATTAGATTGAAGTATAATGAATATCGGGGCAGTATCAAGGCATCCGCACAGGAGGGCATCTAGCAACAAAGGTCGGGCGATTCGACCCAGTACAAGTACCAATCAACAGCAATATTCTTGGTTTTAATTATAAAATATATAATGTGGTGCTTAGCAACCGGACGCAGATTAGTATACCAGGCTGAGGCTTACACATGTTGTGTATGAGGGCTTATCATCCCAGTAGCACAGATCACAATAAAGTGAATGACCTTTTATGCAATTGATGGCAAGTATGTAAAGCTCACTATTTGATGAATATGACTTATTTGATGAGCATGACTTGTTTCATGCATACACAACTTTAGAAGGATAGGCGAGCAGAATATTCCTGTGGTGATCATCATGGACGTTATTCACTTGTACTAGTATCGAATTTGGTAAGGTTAACAGTCCAGGGTCTTTAACACTAAACATCGGGATCGACAGTTACAAAATTACTTGAAGTAGTCACAAAATCCTCTGAAGCGTCTATAAACATAAACTTTCACCAAATAATGGAATGTATTTATGTCAATAACAATAAAAATTGAAGGATTTTTTAAGGAAATAAGAAAAAGGTATTAAATTAAGCGAAAGGAATTATTTGTACAAACCGACTTAGTAGGGAAAACTAGGTAGCATGTCTGAAAATACTTTTAGATGAATCCAAACTACTTATTAGTAGTTAAAAACACAAAGCAAAAGTAAGGCTTACCCAATGATTGCCCGTCTGACATCACCAACGGTATGAGAATTATTCAATCGAATCACAACTCTGAAAACAAGGAAACAACACTTAATGTTTGGTCCCTCTTTTTGTAGACAATATTATATCATTTAGTGAGGTGTCAGTAATGAAGACACAGATGAAGACTAAGTACCCTATCTATCTACTTCTTAGTTACATGGACTAGAACAACACAACTTCGGACCAAAAGGAGCAGGGGTATTATATGCAACTTCCTTGCATGTTCTAATTTAAGAAATCTACTTACTGAATAAACAACGAATGTACATAGACCTAAGTTTGAAATATCTCAGACAACTAATTTCATCATGAAGAAATAAGTCACAAATAGCTCGACTAATGAAGTGATTAAAAGGAAATAATCTTTGATAAAGTCCCTTATTGTTTGGATGACATCAATCCTATGATCATAACAGGTGATTTTAAAATAGAAATCCTATGGCAGTCTATCTCTGTGACATCGAATAAGAATGTGTGTTACAGAAATATAGATTTCTGTCAATCGTTTTGACCTCTTTATCGCTTAGTTTGATGCAGTATAAATCTCCGACTACCAAACAAGCAAAATCGGTAAGCAAGCTCACCAAATAGAAACTTAAAGATATATGAGTATCTGCAAGTCTTTACAAAGCTAAAAGTTTGATCAAAATACAACCTTGTATCATTGTAAATAGATTAACATTGGCACATTCATGTATTGATTGGTCACGGGAGTGCAACCAATTTCATGTTGTCTAGTCCTGAGTGCAGACCAAATCGATCATACTTGCAATGTGGCAACCAAGCTAACGAGTATCAAAAAGCACAAAACCTAGGTCGAGGGCTTCCTGCCGATTGCCTCCAACCAACTAACATCTACTAATGTGCACCGCGATGCTGAGCTTCCTAGCTTGGTTGCCACATTGCATATGTGATCGGTAGAATCCGGTCTGCACTCCGGACTAGACAACATTCGTTGCACTCCCGTGACCAATCAATACATGTAGGCTAGTCCTACAGGAGGTCAATTGCGGCCCGAATAGCTCAGTGGTGAAGTCGCTGACTACAACACTGGGTGACGCGGGTTCGAATCTCAGGCGGGACATCGGTTCCATCGAGGTTGCAGATACGTCTAGCTGAAGAGTGCCAAAAAGTACGAAACCTAGCTCCAGGGATTCCTGCCGCTTGCCTTCAACCAACTAACATTGGTACGTTCATCTTAGCAAAAAGGAAGAAAATCACGAAAAGCTTAAACATTGCCATGGAAATTCATAAACTAAGTGAATCAGGTAAACAAAGATAATACTCATAATTTAGCGTAAAATTCAAAAAAAAAGTGAGTACATCTAAGCAGGTAACAGATTTTGAACTGGGCAGGTTTAAAACTCACGAACTTTCGACAGCTAGTATCTCAAGGATCATATCCAGATAATTGACAGTTTCGCATGTCTTAATCCAACATTCAGCGATTATTTTAGTCTAACTAATATTCATTTGCAATTAAAGCACTACACTATCTAGCGCTCATTGGTGACTACCTTCGAGAGATGATTCCCGAAGTTCCGATGGGAAGTCACGACCAGTGAAGTCAACCAAGACAAATTGAGGACAATTACTGAACGATGACACTGGATGTGGGTCGCGCTATATCGTGAACTGATAGAGGTAGGAAATGTGAACCCATTGGATTCCGATCAAGTGCCTCAGTGGTAACGTGCTGGCCACGGAACCTGAAGGTCTGGGGTTCAATCCCTGGCGGGGTCAGGGGTGCGCACCACCGAGTCCCCATACTAGGATGAAACAGCTGTCCAGTGCTCTTAGGTTTCCAATGTTCCTTCAACTGATGTCAGTCCATGATGAATTCCAACCCAAAATTATCACACTATATTTTCAAGTTAGCATATGTATGTAACAATTCTTATTGATATTCTTTACTCAATGCTCAAAATTACATCAACAAAATGAATTACTATCGTTAAATTCTATAATCACTACGTCAGTAGTTCCATTACACGCGATCAAATGCGTCCAGTCTCTTTCTATTTTAGCCATCAGTAACTCTGCTTCATCGGTGTATGACAGAACAAGGAGACTGCAGTGTACTATGCGCATACACGAATGTAGCAGTAGAAAAGATGCCTTGCCATTTCGGACCTAATTCACACTTCTGAAGAGATATTCACTTTGCAGTTTTCGTTTTACAAAATTATCCACCTACACGAAGATATCTGAGATTGAGGCATACTTAGAATACAGATAGTTGGTAGATCTAATTTATCGAGGTTACTTCGAATGAGTCCAGGAAATTTATTCCATATCAAAGAAGCAATACTATCAGCCAAATCAATTCCCTTTCATATTTGAAGTGACTGGTTCTGAGTAACCTATATGAAAACTAGTTGGGTTAGTGCCAATACAAACGATGGACTTTAGAAAGGTTTTTTCCTGGATATGGGGAGTTTAGGCCATGATGGAGAATATTTGTTGTTCAGGAGGATAATTTAGTGAGTGTTCTCTCGGCTGGACGATTTAATCGTGGAGCTCTCACTGTTTGATGATGTTTTTTAGGATGAAAATGAAAGCTTCCGTACGAACGAATAACAGGACCGGTAGGAGAAGAACTATGACAATCAGACAATCACAATTAATGCAGTAAAACGGCAGAACCAACGTAGTACCTTGCACACAAGTGCATTGGTTCAAGTTACTACACTTCACAGCAGTATGCAAAGAACAGGTGGATAGAAAACAAAACGGATATCAAAGTAGACAAAGTTGTGTGAGACAATAAGCAATTCGATGATAAAGATGGGTGGAAATGTTCAGGCTTTAGAAGATTTCAAAGAGTGAATAAATCCGCGCCATTGTCACCGATTTCCAGCCATGTCACCAACAGTCCTCAATCAATGATTCCTACCACCTCGGCGACCCCAATCACACGGTCTATATCTCCCAACACGACTCAGACCAACACTGAGAGACTCCATCCACTGGTAACACATTTAGATCTGGCTACTCTGAACTCTCTCGCAACCTAATCCAACTTCCCCTAGCACGGCACATCGATGTAGGTGATGGATCGGCATTTGCAGTACCTGCCCGAACTATCTCAGTCGATTAAGGTTCACAACCTCATCAATCGACAGACTTGCCTGCCTTGCCTGGTACCCTTTTCCTGACCTCAGCATTGCTCACACGGTGATTCCAATGGACAAAAGCAATGTTACGAAGACATCTGTCATCAAAACCCTGTAATCGATTCATATGTTCTACTTTCAATAGCCGTCTCTCATAGGACAAAACGAACTGCAGCGCAGTATACTAGACCTTTGGTAGATAGACAAATGTAGCAAACAAGTCATACATCATTTTAAACCTCTATATTTAGATAGTACTTGTCCAGTATCAATGGACGCAGACAAAACAATGACAGGGTAACCGTTGTCAAACAACACCTAGGTAAAAGGTGTTATTCATTTCCGGAAACTCAAAAAACATTTTTAATTCATATGAAGTCTTTGATGTATTCACTTACGGCTTTATGATCTCACAAACTTCATGAAGTTTAGAGGAGTGTAAACAAGATATCAGTCCCGTCGAGTTTCCAGATACGCCACAATGACGAGTGTGAACAAGCACGAAACCTAGGCCAAACAGGGCGTCCTGCAGATTGTCCTCATTCAACTATCAAGGTGTACCGCGATGGTTAGTCGCCTAGCTCGGTAGTCATATTACAAATTAGGTAAATCTCTAGAGGCCAATTAATGCCTTATGATAGGTGAAATTTGCAAACAGCCCAATATGAAATACTATTGCTAACCTTTGTCAATATTACAATTTATCACAAGAATACACACCTTGATCCATCAGGTAACCGAATTTGAAGTTGCGTTATTGGTTGAGAGTTGTCTACTTTGACAGTAGGTTCTTTTGTTGTAATCACAGTGGGTTCTGAAGTTCTTGAAGCTATTTCAGGAATTGGTGAACCAAGCATTTTCCCTGTACCAGCAAAAGCTTTAATTTTAGGAGTAGGAGGAGCATGCCATTCTTCATGATGATGATCTTCAAGCATTACGTTAACCATACTTCCGCCAGCAGATCTTAAAAGTTCCTGAAAGTAACCCCATAAATTATTATATACAGATGGTGTGTTTTCCATAACGAAGTAGTGAATATTAACTGTAAAAAGTAATGCATATTCACACTCTGACGCAGTTTCATTAACCTTCATTTTTCATACATTTGTATCTATTTCCACATCAATCTCTTTCTATTCACTACTTTTTGTTTGCATGCTACAAGGAATTGTGGCGACTTGAATAAATGCACTTCTGTGTGAGGTTCTACTTTGTGTGTCTGTCTATCCATCATGTTGGCGACCGCCCAGAAAAGGAAATGTTAAAAAACTAGAATAATCATTAAAATGAATACTATTTCCAGGATGCTATTGTTTGCAATTTCCCGTTGTTGGTTGAATCAAATTGATCGACCATTTCTGGCATATGAGCTCCTTCCTGAACGGATGCCTCGATATTACCAGTAATTTCAGCTTGATAGTAATGATGGATAGTGGCTAGAAATGGAATCTACGACGTCCAGTTCATCCCATTTGGGAATCTTCAGTTGGATGTACCTACCTCCCAGTGAGTGATGCTGTCCTCATTTAGACCCATACCCAGGATCGATTGCTTTAAATGCCAAAGCATTACCCGCCAGACCACTGAGTCACGATAGTTAATCTTTGTGTGACAGGCATAGTTTTACTGTCAAAGCTTAGGGTGTTTGAAGTGATGGGTCCTAGCATTCAACTGTTAGTGAGAATAACACCACTCATTGGGAGGCAGGTACACCCAGCTGGCGAGTCCAAAGTAGGATGAAACACGCATCTTAGATTGTGCTGCTAGCCACCATCTATTATGATCATGAATATTGTCTCCTTTTATACAAAAGGCTCGGTTGGCTTTCGCCAACTTACGCCATCTATGGCGCCGCCGTGATAACCGATTGTCTACTAAAGGTCGCGTGTACTGCATAGCACTCCGCTCCGTCCTACTGTATGGCTGTGAAACATGGCCATTAAGGGTGGAAGACATGAGAAAGCTTCAGGTGTTTGACCACAGTTGCCTTCATAGTATAGGACGTATTCCGTGGCGTCACTACGTAACGCAGACGTCAGGTGCAGAGTTTTAGGGAGTAGAGGTAAATCAATTGATGAGGTTATGAACCTTCATCGACTGAGATGGTTGGGACATGTATTACGTATGCCTAGTCGCCGATTGCCTCGTCACACAATGTTGGCTGAGGTGGGTTCAGGCTGGAAAAAGGCTCAAGGTGGCCAGACTAAAACATGGCATCAATGTATGAAGTCTCTAACTGTTGGTTTGAGCCATGTGGGGCAATGCAGACTAGCCAGTTGGGGTCTGTGAGACAAAAGGAACCATTGGTTGGAGACTCTAGGTGATATGGCTCAGAACCGATGTCATTGGCGCAGATGTATACACACACTATCCTTATCTTAACAATGCAATGCGGAATCTCACCATTCTGTCATTCTTCCTTTCTCTATTTTCGTACTTTATATTTCTTTTGACTGGATTTTCTTATCTTCATCTTGCACCTCACTGCCTTTTTACTTGATGTACTGATATGAGCTGTGGCAACTCGGACCGTTACTCAGTGATGCCTGGTCCTATGTTGATATTAATGTTGATGATGATGATACAATCACTAAAATGTAATTTTTTTTTCTTTGATAAACTTCTAACGGTTTGAAACTGTTTCAGAGTTCATCCGGTAATCAGCTGTTTATCTCGTTTCTCACATGCTATTATAAACAGTAAACCTCATACACTCTGCGGTATGGTCAAGCAGCACATGTCTCGCTGTAATAAACCAAATAAACACTAGGAGTATTGCAAAGTAAATCATGATAGAGTATGACGAATTTCATTTGTAGGTTCGTGGCGATTTATCTATTGATTTCAGGATGGCACTCATCATGGACTGAGATCAGCTGGAGTAACACTGGAAATCTAACAGCGTTAGAAAGCTGTTTCGTCCTAGTACGGGCTCGTCAGCAGTGCACCCTTATAACCATTAGTGACTTGCTTCGAAATGAGATTCCCAAAATTCTAATGGGAAATCGTGACTAGTGGGGCCAACCAAGTAGCAAGTGAGGGCAGTTACTCAAGGATGGCACTGGATGGAGGTTCCCTTATATAGTGAACTGATAGAAATAGGAAATGTGGGGCCATTGAATGCCAACCTAGTGGTTCAGTGGTAACGCGCTAACAACGGGACCTAAAGGTCCTGAGTTTGGTCCCTGGTGAGGTCATCACTGTGCACTGCTGAGGAGCCCTATATTAGGATGAAATAGCTGTCCAGTGTTCCCAGGCTTTCAATGGTTCTTCAGTTGATGTCAATCTACGATGAATATCAACCAGAGTATGATGAATTGATGGTCAAACCCTTGATTGTCTTCAATAACATGAATTTTCTATGCAACTGTTCGATTAGGTGTGTTAGCATAATCTGCTACACTTCTCACTGGCATAATAACAACAAATAAAGGAATAAAAAATAATGACGGATATTCGCAAGGGGAGATGCGAAGGTGAACTGAAACATGACACCGAAGACAAGAGACGAGATGTTCATAGTCTAGTAGGTAAGGTGTAAATGTATCTATATTACTGCCTTTTTGGTCATTGGATTCTACTCCCGTATTTCTACAGCCTCGTAGACACCTACAAATAGGCCTACAGATACTTCAATTATGTTGCACAGGTAAAATATTTCACTTTACTCCCTTCAGTCACTCATAATTGTGCTGAGTAAATAGATGAAAGCATTTCTTAGGAACCGCAAAGAAAATAGATTGACTAGAGAAGCCTTCAAAACTGTAGATCCAATCATCATCTGACAACCGCTGGTTCTTCAAAATCGCAGGAGCTGAATCTACACTATATCACTTTCAGCGGAGCCGATATACTCATCACCATTTCGCATTTGCCACACTTTTGTCACGCGAAATCTTAAAAAGAGTGATTACCTCAGTTATGTAAAACTAGTTTGTCAGGAGCAACATTACCACCTTTAAGTGATAAGTCGTAGACAAACACATGTTTTAAGCTTTCTCTTATGGCTATGACGCAAATTGAGAATCGAGGTAAATTTTCAGTTGGGAATCATCAGATTTCTAAAAGCTTCGACCAGAAAAGGAGATCAAACAAAGAAATTTCTTGGCAAAAGAAACTAAATTAGCATGACTGGACGTAGCTGACTCACCTGAGGGATTTGACCACTTTGTATGGCATTAAAAAACTCAGAAGCTCCTGGATCAGTATACGAACGCAATGGTCCACTGTCTAAACTGAAACCATCACGCCACATTTTTACAACAACACTCTGTTCTGAGACCTTTTTTGTGCTGGGACCACTAGAAGTAGCTGACTCTAACACAGTTGCAGAGTTAGGATCATCTCCAAGTCTAAATATATAGGTAGAAACAGGATAAAAAAATATTTTTGGTAAGTGTTTTGACAGAGTATTTTTAACACCGAAACAAGGTTACATGAGGCATCAGTATAGTGTAATAAACACGAGTCATTGAAAACAACTGTTGCAGGGATCAAAAAGTGATAGATAACCCAGAACCTTATGATGAAATGTCAACAGTGTCAGATGCATCAATACTAGACAGACAAAATTAACATCGAACCTGGTACACAAGTGCATCAATTCAAGCTACCACATTTTACAGTGGTATACAAAGAAAAAATGGACAGAATAAAAGTAATTCCAAAGTAGACAAAACTGTGTTAGAGAATAAATAATTTACTGAAAATATCAATCAGGACATTAGAGAAAAGGAGTAGTTCGGCGGAGATAACTTTTTCGGCGATCTCACTGTCCACTGCTATAGAGAATGAAATCGCCGAAAAAGAAATCATTACCAAACTTCTCACTCTCTAGTAAACATTATGAAGATAAAGCCTAGTACAAATATTCAAGCGTTAGAAGAAGACTTTAAAACACACTGCGACGTAGTACACTCAGTCAATTAATAAGAAGTCAAATATCTCGCCATTGCCTCAGACGACGCAAGTTGGCAAACTCTAAACGGGCCTTCTGTATCCGAGCTGAGATTTTGTCAGAAACCAAAGTGGATGAAGTGATCAACCCATTCCTTCACTTCACTCGCTATTGTTAAACTGCGAGTAGTTGCAGGTCAGTCCTGGAGCATCGTCTTACATTTTGACAGGCGAGAAACCCATATCAAACACACTCAGATTTCTGATCAACGCGTTCATTGTCTTCATGAATCGTAGACTATGTTGATTAACTATCATCTATACTAGCCAATTAAAGTAAATTCATGAGAGGAACTGTTCTGAAAGAGCACAACTGAAACAAACAGAACAGAAACAGACAAAAACTCTGACGAAGATGAAAGACGATTCAACTATCAGCGCCAAGCTGCTTGAACAGCTAACATCATCTTGTTCAGTAATCCCTCGACTCTATAGTCTTCCCAAAGTTTATAAGAAATATGTTCGTTTTCGTCTTACGCTCAGAATTGAATCAAATTCGCCCAGCAACCTCATTCACATTCGTAGGCAATGAGCCACACCTAGTGATACTACCCGTCTGGAGCGGCGTTCGAACCCATGACTCACTGGTTGGAAGTTATCTCCCTAAACCAATGACCCACAGCTTCTCTAATACTTGATACCAATAATTCGCCATACAATGGAATTGTAAAGTGGTCGACGGAAATTCTTCATCCAATGAGGAATTAGACCAATAATTACAGCACGCCTGACTTAATCGACTTCTTTAACTGTGTACGAGATATCAACGTGTGTGGAAAGAGTATGTTGTCACTGGACGTCCAGTTCACTCTTCCGAAATGTCCCTTTCACGGAAAAAAAACCTGCTTTTTGTGTGATTATATTGAAGTCAACAAACTTTAAATTGGAATTTCTAGACATTTTCTAAGGGGATTGCTCCTACGACGCACCTTTGATGCACAATTCACATTTAATAATAAACTTTATCGAAAAAGGATGGAATAACAACAGGTTCACCACTGCGTCCTCTCTCAGCTGATTAACCTCATGACTGGTCTGGAAAACAGTAAACTACATCCGTCGGTCGACCACTTCCATTTCTATATGAGACACATGAATAACACTTTCATCATCTGTGAGGAGAACGGTACAGAAGCTCAATGCATGTCATAAGTCAATTAAGTTTACTATGGAAACTGAAAGTAACTCAGAATTCCACTTTCACATCAAATACGACAGTTTGTAGACACACTGCAATTCAACTTTGACAGAATTCAATCAGGAAAATGGACCAGAGAACTACATAATGACCACTCAATGCCTACAATTCAATCACATGAAAAGTTTACCTCTGGGTGATTTCGACTAATACCTGAAAGGGTGAGCCAACCTCATCAGACCACATTGATAGGAATAGCATAATTAGTTAAGAATATACAATAACAATGAGAATATATATGAAATAAAAAATAACTACGAATTTTAAAATAAATCACTTGATATTTAGCTTACTTATATCCAGTGCCACTGAACGGTAACTGTTTACTGGATTTACTCTTGTATTCATCGTATTGTGTTGAATCTAACACCTCCGCGCCCTTAACTTTAGCGGCTTGAAAAAGATCACGAACGAAAACATCTGGAGATTGTGAAGGATCAGGGACCAGCTTGTTGCGATCACGTCTTGGAGGACCAAGAACTTGTTGACCACCTCCTCCAGTCTCGGAACCACCAACATAGAAAGCCTGTCCTTCTTCTGATTCATCATCACTAAACAAGTAAATGTGTGGTATATTTTTCACCTCAGTAAATGAATACACGTCATGTCATCAATCAATGTTAGAGCCTTCCTAAATATATACGACAACTATCTGCATCTTTTACCATTATAGACCAGTATAAGAAAAAGAAAGTGGATGAGAAATATGATGCATCAAGTTGAATTCCTGCTTCAGTTTTGAAACAGTTATGTTGGTAAAAACGACTTTGAGCTATGTGTCTTTAACACAGAGAAAGAGAACAGAAACTCAACCAACAGCCTTTCACCATGCCATAAAGGCTGAACTGTACTTGTCGTTCCTGTTTCAAAAGTGGTCTGCTTGATTGCCTTTCTTTAAAAAAGTGATCTTATTTGCTTGAATACAAAACTAGGCCAGAACACGCATAAGAACAACTGCTTCTCATGAAACAGAAAAAGAAAGAGGAGTTAAAAAGTAGTAAGCGTAGGAAAATCAGATGTATGTAAAGTATTCAAAAAGGCTTACACCATTTCTGCATTACTTTTTAAAAAGAGAGAATCATGACACAATCACTTATTTCGGTTGAGTCATGAATTAAAACGTATCTCACTACTATTATATAGTATTCTTCGAATCAACCGGTAGTCGCATTATCAGAACATATGCCAACCCAACGCAGTTACCCTACATCCCACGGCAACATGTCATAGTTTGTCAAGTCAAATACTTTCTCCAACAGTTTCGGAACTAACAAACAGTGGATGGACTGAACATAATGTTTCAAAAAGACTTCACTCACTAAATGGTAACTTCCACTAAGCCCAAAGACATCACTGGACCTAAAAATTACTTATACGGTATTACCGCGCGAGAGGGTATACCATAGTAAAATAAGTCATGATCGAACATAGTCATCGAATATATTCAAATCGAAGATGCTTAACTGCACACACATACAATCAAAGAACTTTCACTGAACCTCTGAGTCTCCTCATTTTTTCAGTTAGGTAAATGTCATAAAGCAATTGTTTATCCAGATTAGCGTGTAGCAATTTGACCTTTGCCAAACAGTGAGAAATCTCATCTCTTACAAAAACTCGATATAAAATCTTTTGGATATAAACTTTTGCCAACCTTACGAAAGTTCCTCACATGTTTATGGTGCGAAGAATATACAATACTCGCAAATATTGACCAACAACTACGTGAGCAAAAATTGAGTAGGATGTATGTCATACAGTAGTAAGATTATATCGAACCAAAGTTTTCTAGTTGCCTACGATGGGGGTAATCACACCCACTCACATTATGATGAACGCCGAACACTTGCACCTTTCATTCAATTAGAAAGAGGGACATCTGACGAGTAATGCATGATCCCGTGAGAACATTTTGATGCAAGTTGACCTTAACTATATCAAGGCAACAGTAATCGAGAGAGTATACAGTCTCATAAAACCGAGGAGGTGCATGAGACTAAGTGCATTGACAGCTAACGAAATAACGACATGATCCAAAGAGGATAATTTGCTTTATATTAGCATATATCCCAAATGAAATCCAGGTAAGATGCATAGATCCTCAATAATGGATAGGTAATGTAAAGTTATGCACACTGTCTTACTACAAGACGAATATAAAATAATCACATCATGCATTACATAGGCAGACATCTCATATTGCATATGTTGTAAGCTAGGATGAAAGGAAGCTGAAACTGATTAGGTGGGGGCGAGAAGGAATAAAGATATGACATCGATGCACAAATTCACAGTGTAGGCAGAAAGTCCAGAAAGTGTAGATTTTTCTTTAGTGTTCAGCCAGTCAGTATTAATATGGGACCTGGCGATAGTGTCTAATGATTGAAGCTACTACAAATCATCATGAAAAAATGGAAATCAAGAACCATTTAGTAACTTTGTGCACGTTCGTGCACTAGACGATGTGCCACACCAATAGTGTGAGGGCTAATGATACTATCTAGCCGCCCAGACTACGGTACGTCAAGCTCAATTCGAATCCATGATCCGCCGGCTGGAAGTTGAGTCATTCAGTCAACATCAAAACAGAACTTGGTATTACCAAGTAACTCTCCAGGCTGCCACACATCATATGAGCACATAAACGCAGAGGATACCAAGATTAAACATGGCGAAAGAAAGAAGAAAGTGATCGACAGTGGTAGACAGCCATGGGGAACAACGAGGAATGAACCTGTAATGCAATTCAGCATGAAGAAAATGCAAGCATGCATTAGCACCACTGATATCTATTCCAGGCTATATTGGCCAGACTCCAATCACCGAATCAAGTGGTTGAGAGGATCCCGACAGCGAAGTCTACTTTTCCCTACACAGTTCAGGCCAAAAGTCAGACACCTCATGAACCGATACCAAATTTCAGTCACAACGTACAGTCTTTTTGCAAACAGACAGAAAGACGAAAACAACGTACAACCTAGCATACAAGCACACCGGTTCAAGTTGCCATATTTTGCAGCAGCATAGGAAGAACGGTGGATAAAAGTGATATCAAAGTAAACGAAACTGAATGCGAAGAGAGAAATTTTTGATTGATGATTAGTGAGCGTTTGATGACCACAGTCAAGGAGTCTACAACTTCATGCATGAAACAGACGAACAGTTGAAGACTACGCCGACTAGTACCACATCCTGATTTGGCCTTCTTTAGCCTTTTCCCAACCCATCCCTAATTGAGCCAGCATTGCAAGTAGACGCATGTGGTAATTTGGCATGCGCAACACATTTTCACGCCACTTCAGTTGATGAAGGTTTCCAAACTCAGACTAATTCGCTTGTCCTGACTAGTACTCCATACCTAGCCTCGAAATTACTCACAATATGGTTCCAATATATGTCAGAAATGTAGTGCAAACACTAGTAATCGAAAACCTGCGGCCTTTTAATATTTTCCTCTTTCAGTGGTCATATCTCACAAATATATAACATAACAGAGCGGATCTCTGCACAGTATATTCATCCTTTAATGTCATTACATATTTCGTTAGCGTCAGAGATGGTGTAAGTTTGTAAATGCAAAACAAGCATTTCGCATGTCAGCTGGAATTTTGTCACCAATGTAACTGAAACGACCAATGAATTTAACTGTCTTACCCCACACCCTTAACTTTAAACTGGGAGTAGCCGCAGGCAACTTTCGAAGCATCATCTTACATTTAACAGATCCAAAACGCAAGCTAAACATAGTCAGATTTTCGATCAAGGAGTTCAACGACTTCACTTAGCAGGACTTTTTGTTTACGTACTCCAAACCAACCAAGTTCCTTCCAAGGAGCAAGTCAACCCATGAAAAGTAGGAGGTACCCAGGTTTATGTTCACAAGTACGCCTATAATGAAGTCATACAGTGAGGGTGATAGTGGGCATCCACGGTGAACTGTAGTAGCTGTCGTCATCTCAGACGACAACTCTTCATAAGTCCTTACACGGCTACACGAGCTACAGCAAAGACAATGCACTTTCTCAATTGTCCCTACACAATCTGACACTGCCAACAGACCCTAATGCCACTAGAGGTCAAGAAATATGACGTGTCGGTCACCGGTAAATATGCCTGTGTCCTCGAACGTGGCAAAGAGTGAAGATCCGAGTGTACCTCATCCAGGTCTGAAACCTACCTGGTTCCCTCAAGTTTACTATTCGCAAGTCCCAGATAACTAAGCATAATAGGATCTCAGGTACGACGTTAAACTGACCCTCCAATGGTCCTCCGAGGAGACTTCTCCCTTTTCTTATAAACAATAATAATAAACTATCTAAAATGGCCTAACGGGAATACCTTTTATTCATCTAAACTACCTGATATCTCCGTTACTCTCCTGTGTAAAAGCCTTCTAGTAGCGAACTGTCGGGTCCTGATGCTTCGCATTCTTTCAGGTCAGAAACAGCCTTCCCAACTTCGAGAACAGTTAGAGAATAGACATCAAGTTCATGAGGTTTAGACTGGATGTTAAGCAGCTGAAGCGTTATTGTAGATCAGTTTAACTGTGCTTTAAAGTACTCTAACTAACGTTCTAGCTGCCTGTCTTGAGCGGCTGTCGAAGTTTCATTCCTCTCGATAATGGTCCCTATAACCATCAGCTTATCCTTAGTAAGCCTAAATAATTACCTGATATCAACTAATGCTGATGTCTTCTCCAACTCTTTCGGAATTTACGAATCAATATAAATCATAAAGACTACTACGCGTTTATTGATGTATTTTGCACAAATCAAAACTCATGGTGTAATAAATTACTGGCTTAACCATTTGATTTGTGATTATATCCTCGTTATTCTTACGTAGGGTTTTTTCGTTATCATTTATGCACGTATCTTTGTCTTACTCAGCTGCTTGCTATTAACTAAAACACTTGGCTTTTTGGATAACTTTGAGTCACCGAACAGTGGCTTCCACAAACCTGTTCTTCAGTGAAATATCTGATACAACCACTGAAACCGCACACACTACTTAAGCTGGCCAGCAGCAATGTTCGGATATGGATGCAGATAGAACAACATGCAGGTTTGGCTAGGATTCTGGAAAACCTTGCTATTGATACATGCTGTATCTCAGAAACCTGCAAACAAGATCCTAGTGAAGTTCTTCAGACAGCTTCCTCGACTGTCAGCTCGAAAAATGCATTCCCAGTACGCTTACCCTGGAACTCTGAGGCATCAGCAGTCAGTCTTGCTAGTTCTGGTTGGATTAGGCCCCAGAGCCGAAGCTTAACTTGTCAACTGGATCCTCAACAACTGTCGTCTGTGCTGCTAGGTTAGAAGATTCGACTGCAGTAAGAGGTGACTGACAAGGGAAATGATGCCTTTTCATAATACCTGCCTATGCCCCGATTAACTGCAGCCTAGACCCAGTTGATGATGAGGTTTATAAGGAAGTCTAAATTCTAAAGAGGAGTAGGGCACCTGACCCAGGTAAAATAGCCCCACCTTTGTGACGGCTTAAGGTGAGATTAGTCTGAGAAATGACTATATTGTTTGGAAGGCATGGCAGT